AATGCATTTGAACGCCAATTAGCCTAGCTTGGGCTCGTCACGGCTGTCTTCAAACCAAGCACCTCTTACGCGGACGTTTAGCGTGTGCTCATGCAGAATAAACCACCATTCTATACATCACTTTAAGAGCAGCATTCAGGTTTGTTCAATATACCTGAAAGCTCTCCGAGCCCCTCTTTGCCGCTACTCTCGCCTTCCGTCGCCATGATAGCAAACCTTGCTCTTACGTCAATAAACTGCGCCGCCAAGACGTAACTTCGTTCCGACGTCACCAAATACGCCACGAAGTACAGTAGCAGAAAAAAATACTAAACTGTCAAAACTGATGGAAGTGTCGAACAATTCGGTCAAACGAAGGATATGCAAAATATGCAAAAAGTAAACGTCGATGGACAATTAATTCATTCAGCGATACAGACGTATTGTACAAGTAATTACTTAAAATACTCTGATAAAAGTATAACTATTGATTGAATTCTAACTGGTTACACACTAGGCAATTTGTACTTTGTTACTTCGCACCACCGCAGCGATAAATGGGATTATACTGGCTGTGTTCTAAAGGTAGCTGAATCTATGGCTCAAGAATGAACAACTGAATTAGCTCTATACCAACTGCGGTCAAGCCAGCCTCCACTCGCAAAATCGAAGTCAAGTGAGCCGCCACTGCGATTGTCAATACTGTGCATTACGGTAATCTGTCGCCAGCGAGGGGCGTTGGCCTCCTTCAAAATAAAAGAGCCTCCACGCATGCATAAACGTCATTTGTTTGAGTGAAAAGAAATTAATTAAAATATAAAATAAGTACTTTCTTGGCTGTCGGGTAAAGATTCACAGAGGAAGAACAAGAACTCTCAGAACAGCACCAATAAGCGTTCTCAAGTGGAGATAGAAAATAAAGTCAATGGTGATTCTACATCAATTTCACTTGATATTAAAAATAATTCTACATCAATTTCACTTGATATTAAAAAAATCATTAAAACAATAAATCTGGGTGATTGCGCAACAACACCAGGTTGTCGCGCAACAACACCAGGTTGTCGACACACAAGGGCGCGCCAGGTATACAACCACAGTACTGGCATTCAGATCGAATGTTCCATTACCAATTAAAATGCCTCTCAAATATGACATTTTGAGCTCCTCTCCTTATTTCAAAAGATTCTTAAAAATGAATTTCAGTTATCCCTCAATCAAACCAGGCGTGTGGGACACGAGAGCACTCCAGGTATCCAACCAGACCACCCTCATTCTGATCTGATGTCGGCCTCTGA